CTTCCCACAGGGCCGGGCTGAGTCTCCTAAAGACAGAGCTCAGGCTTCCCTTTGGACCTGTGCAACAGTGTTGTCTGTGATGCAGGCTTTACGCGTTCGCGACCCGGTGCCGAACGCGCGCTCTCTGTCCTACCGCAGGTGCAGGAGGACTTCGTGCAGGCGCTGGACTCCCTGTCCAGGTGTGTGAAGTGGGCAGAGGGCTTCCTCCTGGTTTACTCCATCACAGACTACAGCAGCTACCAGTCAGTCCGACCTCTCTATCAGCACGTACGCAAGGTCCACCCAGATGCCAGGACTCCCATCATCGTCGTGGGGAACAAAGCAGACCTCCTCCACGCCAGGCAAGTACAGGCGAAAGAGGGACTACAGCTGGCAAATGAACTGGGCAGCCTGTTCCTGGAAATCTCCACGAGTGACGACTCCCAAGGCGTCTGCGATGTTTTCCAGTATCTTTGCAAGGAGGTCAGCAAACTACAGCACGCCAGCAGCATGGACAGGAGGCGGTCATCCATCATCCCTCGGCCCAAATCTCCCAACATGCAAGATCTAAAGAGACGTTTCAAACAGGCTTTGTCTTCCAAAGTCAAATAACGGCCCCGATGAGATCCTGCGTGACTCAATAGACTTTGTTTTTGTAAACTAGTTAATAAAGATCTTTATTTTTGTACTAACGCCAGCAGATGGAAGTAAGTATGTTGAAGCTTGCAATTTCCTTGCCATTCTTTCTTGTTTGACTGGTTGGGTTATTTTTACAAAAAAAAGATGCTGCATAGCAACTAAATAGAGGTAGTTGGAGAAAGGGATTTTTGCCAGGAGGTTTTGATTCCATTTCTGTTTTGGGCTGGGATTTGCTGTTTTACTCTGCTCAAATGACTTTTTTGGAGCCTCAGTTTCCTGTTTGTAAAATGGAAGTGATGATGATGTAACACTCACCTGCCTTTATAAAATGCATGGAAAGCCTTTGATGGAAAGCTTTATACGGAGAGAGAAAAAAAAAAGCTCTATTAAACATGAAAATATAAAACTGTGAGAATTCTGATTATAACAGGATCGCTTGCCCTCAACAACTGCTGTTTTGCTTGCACCGGTAACTGCCTGAATGGTAATAATCTGTTAGGAATGAGTTCCAATTTCTGATGTGCTTTAGAGATCCCGCAGAATTAATCTTTTGAGCCTAAAGCATTTAACAGGAGAGTTGAGTTTCTCCCACAGATTACCGTGGGACAAAGTGCTGAGCAATCCGCAGCAGAGGAGTGTGTGGGATGGCTGTTGCTTTCTCTGGAGATGTGTGATAGGAAGGACTGATGCGTAGGTTCCCTTTACAGAAAATAGCTACATTTAAAAGAAATCGCATCTTTATCTTCCCCAGAGCAATTTTGTAGCCATTGGAAGCAGGTTAGACTTCACTCTTGTTTCACCTAAGCTCTATACCATACTTGAATGGTTTTTATTAACTGTTTGCTGGATGTCTAAGCATGGAACGTGGGTTTTGCACTTCAAATATGCCTCTGAAGTATGTGCGTTGTGTTGGTAAAAAATAAAGCTCTGTTCCATGCTGAGTAGAAAGTGTGGAAGTGGAGTAATCTGTACAGGGGGAAACTTGCTGTCCCTGCTCACACATAACTCCAGTAAGGGTGGGTTTTTTTTTTAATGATTTTATTTTTATAGGTTAAGTCCAAAGACCCTTTTCTTCTTGCCTTTGTTAGGAAAGGCAGGTAACTGCTGTGTGAGTCCCTTGTAGTTAGTGGGCAGTATCTGTTGTTTCTGACCCCTGGGGCTGGAAACTTTCTGGGACACCTCCACTCCTGATCTACAGATGAAAGTCTTCATGATGGTGGTAATGGAGGGAAGGGTGACTAAGTGAGATGATGCTCCGCAAGGAAGCATCAGAGGCCCGTTTTGGCACATGGTAGGGGTGTGGGATGCCAGCAGCACTATTCCCCACCCAGGGCTATGTGCACAACATCAGCCCAGGCACATTAGCTGTGTAGCTCCTCTCCGAAGGCCGTGTGCTGCCCTGCCAAAGGGAGTGGGAGAGCTGAAGGGAGGCAGCTCCAGGCCTGCAGGACCAGACTGAAAGGGACTGCAAACTGGGCCCAGAACTCTTGAATTAATGGAAGTGCAAAAGCACTGTGACAGCCTGGACAAATACAAGTACGGTTTAAAACGCATTTTAAATATCTCTTCCCTGTGAGAGTTGTTCTGCCAGGCCCAGGACTCTGGGCTGGTGGCTCGAGGGGAGCAGGGGCACAGGGTTGATAAGAATGAGCGCATCCCTAGCAGACTCAAACTC